ATTCTATTCTGGAGTGATAACTGGACCCTCCTGGACACAACCCTCGACAGACTTGCCCTGTGTCCCACAAATCAGATGGATTGGAATACTAAGGTGGTGGACCTTAGGGACAGCGTCACAGGAAGTTGGGACCTGGACACCCTCACTAGAATTCTGCCCTTCGACGTAGTTGAGCATATTAGGGCCATTATTCCACCGTGCGATGGCAGAGGGCAGGATCAAATGATATGAAGGAATAAACTTTCTCCAGGTGGAGTGGTTAAGTATGCTTATAAGTTAATTATGGGCGATGATTCCATGACCCATGATAATCTTTGGAGAACTGTGTGGAAGTGGAGAGGGCCTCAAAGGATTAAAACCTTCACCTGGATGGTGCTTCACGACCGCCTTCTCACCAGAGACAATACTTCTAAGTGGGGGGGACCCAGCAGCTGCCATTCCTGCCCTAGCACTGTGGAAGACCTCTCGCATGTTCTTAGGAATTGTCCCAAAGCGTTGATCGTTTGGAAAACGTGGTTTGCCGGTAACCTTCCCTGGGACTTCCTCTCCATGCCTCTGGAAGAGTGGCTTAGGAAAAATATTACTCATGGATGGAGTCATGCTCAAGTCCTAAACTGGCGTGACATTTTCTTCACTTTCATCTGGTTTTTATGGGTTTGGAGGAACAATGAAGTACATGATTCCAACTATCATCGTCCTTTTGATCCCATATTCTTAACCTCCTATATTATTGACTTCTCTCGGGCGGGTTTGCACCAGGCTGGCCGTTCCTCTAGTCATCCTGTTTCCCCTAGAGTGCAGTGGATAGCTCCCCCTCATGGTGCTTGGAAATTGAATGTTGATGCTGCTTTCAAGAAGAACTCTAACAATGCCTACTGTGGGGGTCTGATTAGGAATGACGAAGGAGATTGGATTGCAGGTTATACTTATAATATTGGTATTTTCCCCCCTCTAACAGCTGAATATTGGGCCATCTTAAAAGGGCTTCAGCTAGCGTGGTATATGCATGGCCAAGATATCATTGTTGAGAGCAACTCTCTTAGTGCTATTTAGGCCATTTCGAAAGCTAACAAGAACTGCGACTCCAATACCTTTGTGCAAAGCATCCTCCAGTGGGGTGACAAGAACTGGAATCTTTCCTTCCAGCATGTTAGAAGAGATGGGAATAGATGTGCTGACTGGATCGCGAAATTTGCTACCCATGCTAGTGTGAGTGGCCAGTTTCTTGATTCCTGCCCTCTTGGCTTAAGTCATCTTCTGTGTTATGATAAAACCTTATTAGTTAGTTAGTTTGTTGCTTTTCTTTGGGCCCTTGGCCCCTCCTTTGTACTTAAAAAAAAAAGAATCATAAAACTCAGATAATTGCATTGGAAGTGAAAAATAGGAAGGAATAAATTAGTTTTCGCATATGCTACTCTAAGGTAGGGGAAGAAAGGGAAATGAGATTCTGCATATATTAAGCCTGAAAAATTTGAATGGGTTGACAATGTGGAGGCAACTAAATTGGTGGAAAAATGTGGTTTTACACGTAGAGCATCTTGATTGGACTCAATATGTGGAGTACTAACCACATTCGTGGACAAGTGAGTTTGCATATACTGACTCTGAAAAAGTTGATTGGGTTTACATTGTGGAGTGGCAACAACATTTGTTGATATTGTAACTTCTTCAGTGTCTTGCCTTTCCTTCTAACGCTTAGTGTTGTAATTCTTACATAGATACCAATCATCTAACTGCATTTACACACACACACTCAGACACACACATATATATATATAGGGTAAAGTGTGTGTCATTTTAAAGGATGTAAAGTTGTGTCATTTTAATAGAGAGAAAGAGATAAATAAAGGTGGAGAGAAAGTTGAAAAAAATTAAAGGTGTGGATCCCACCTTTTTATGAGAGTGAAATGATATAAATTGTGTTATTTGAAAGGATAAACATTTTTCCTATATATATATAGCTTATCGTTTATCAAGCTTGAGATAATCTTATCTCTGGCTACTAAATCATAACCGTACAAAGATGGATCAATGATGATAAAGGAAAAAAAGAGAAAAAGGGAATCATAATCATTCAAATGTGAATCAATTAATATAAGGAAATAAATAAATAAAACGACGTAGTTTTGGGGTAGCCGGAGATAAATTTATCTCAAACTGCTTGAGAAATATTTTTCCTACATATATATATAAGGTTCGCTTTTTCTGCAGTTAATGCAGATAAGTTATCTGCAGTAAGTCCAATACGACGTCGTTTTGGGGCGGAAATCATGGTGTTTTTATAATTTTAATTTATTTCAAGGTTATAATAGTCTTTATATTTATAATTTTTTTAAGATTTCAATACCAAAACCAGTGTTTAAAAACCCAGCCCGGCCATCAACCCGGCCGAGGTCAGGGGTCACGGAGTCACGGGTTCAACCGGAGGGTCAAGGGGTCACTACGCTGACCCGGTTTTATATATTAAAAATTTATAAATATATATCCTATATGAAAATATTAAAAACTAAACCACCAATCATCAAAGATCCAAAATATGCTTAACATAATTCACCAATTACAACCACAAGTCAATATTACACAACCTAATTAAAGGATCAAAATACCAAAGTACAAAACTCGTATTCTAATGGGGTCACTATGTTGACTCGGTTCTGCCTCTTTTAAGAAGGTCACTGACAAAGGAAAATTTCAATGAAGTAAGAATGAGTTTTTGTTTTTCATCAACGACGGTAAGGATTTCATTTAAATGGGTAAAATTCTTTCCTTTTCTAGAAGATTCACGGCAGCGAGGTCAAGATTGAAGACATCCACATCGCTTGGAAAGAAGAGAATGATTAGATTTAAGTTTGTAAACATTTTTTTTTTAATAAACAACGTTATTTCTTGGAATTTTTTCTAAAAAAAAAATGCAGTGACCCCCTCTGACCCGGGAGTTACTGAAACCCGGCCGAGTTTTAGGGGTCGGAGGGGTCGATGTGCATATAGGGTCAGGGTTGACCCGGGTCAACCCGGGGGGCGGGGCAGGGTTTTAAAACACTGACCAAAATGACGTTGTTTTGGGAATAAATGCAGATAACTTATCTGCAGTAACTACAGAAATATTTTTCCCATATCTATATATATAAAAGTTATTAACATGCAATAAATTAAAGAATATCTATTATAGATATTCATCAAAATTGAAGTCTTATGAATATTTTACCATGCAAGGACGAGCTGTAATTAAACTTGTAAGATTTTTCGATTTTTCAACTATGAACTCTTGCATAATCCAATTGGTTTTCACTACATCTTTCACTCTATCTATAAGAATTTTTTGGTATATGTGGGTGTGGAACGTTGTCTTTGGAATATAAGGTTTCATCCTTATTGGAAAACATAGTGGCCTTATGCAATTAATCAACCAACTCATTGATTGATGAAATTAAAAACTTATCCTTCATCGTTATGGCAATTAGCGCCCTATAATCAATACAAAATCGCCATGTCTCATCCTTCTTCTTAACAAATAGTATAGGCTAGGCGAACTGAATGAGGATTTCTTGGGACGGATAACCCCATATCAAGGCATCTCACTCACCAATTTTTCAATCTTATTCTTTGGATAATGACAATAACGTTAAGGCCTTAGTTGGATTGGCTTAACATCTAGTATTAAGGCCCGTTTGGTACACCTGATAAGAAGAGCATCATAGGATAAACTATCATATCCTACTTTTATCCAATGTTTGGTAAACCAATGAGATATGATAAAGTTATCCTATTTGCTAATTTTATCCTTCCTAGAAGCGGATAACATAACCTAAGGGGTAGGCTGAGTTACGTTTTAGTCGGATGGGATAAGAAAAATAAGTGGTATTCTCTATCATTGGTCAATGAAAACACCATTATATCATGGAATTAGGATTTTTAGGGGGGAAATAAAGGGGATTTGGTAGTAAGAGAAAGAAAAAGAAGGGGAAGAATTTCTAAATACTCGTATGTATTCTCATTTTTATTCCCAAAACTATACATTGTATCTCAATTTCATGTGAAATTAAAATGCTATTACAGAAGCAGAATTACCCACTATAAAATCACTTAAGTGGGTGGCCTAATAATCCTTATCTGCTTAGGTCCACTAGTTGCATTGAATCGTCGGCCGTAACATAAACACTCCCCCATTTGCCTATTAGAAAAAACCACCATCAAGAATTGTTGCTTAAAACTTAGGGAAATAGTTATATCATGTTATAAGAAATTGATTGTGTTATACTACAGACACAATTAATATAGACTCCATCACTTTTAAAATAAAAAAGAAAAGAAAAGAAAAGAAAATGATGTAGACCACAACTAATGGGATCTACATTGGTTGTGTCAATAGCATGACACAACCAATTTCCTATAACGTTATTTCCTAAAACTTATCATGAGTACCTTCATTAGTCCCGGTAACTTGGACCGATCAAAAGAAAATGTTATAATCATATCGTTAGTTGTGGCCTGTTGGAGGCTGCCGATGCTGGCTGGCGCATAATTTCCCAAGTCGTAACCTCGATCGAACCATATGCAAGTCCTAGACTTTTTCTTCCATTTCAATGCAGTTTGTGTTTTATGAATTTGTTACCAAACTACAATAAAGAAGGGGAATAGAATAGTTACTAATATACATTTCTCGTCTCACCATAGAAAAAAAGAAAAAAGAAAACTAAATCGACAAAATAAAGACCAAACCTTAGAGGGAAGGGAACATGTCAAGTAATCATTAACCCCACTAAAGTAATCATCAAGAGAACCATGTTCAACATTTACCGTTGAGTTCTTGCTGTCCCCACACTACACCACCGCTAGATTTGAAAAAGTTACTTCTATAAATGGCATCTTTCTCTAACGGCTACAACACCCAAAATGTCTGCATTCATTTAAACAACAACATCGCTGAATCTTAAGCTACACATCAATCATCAAACATTGCCACTCACAAAAGCACTCACTCACAATCAATTATTCAATTCATGGATTGTTCTTCTTCTTCTTCGAGTACCACTTCTCATCACCACCGCTCTTCCTCCAAAACCAAGTCTTCATCTCGCTTAGCTCGAATCGGAGAAAATGGAACACTGGAGCCTCTTCGCATATCTCTCGACACGGTTCCTTCACCAACCCCTTCTCCTCTCTCTCTTCTTCGATCTCCGACGAATTCTCTTCCCCTCAGAGAGCTCCTCCTCCTCTCCCCTTCTCCGGTGAGAAAGTCCAAGGCCCGCTACGACGAGGAGTTGCCGGAAACCGCCTCCGGGGTGCGCCGCCGCTGCAAGGGCCGAGTGGCGCAAATGGGCATGCTTGCATCGCCAAGGAACTCTCGTAGGTCGAGAAGGGAAGAAAAAGAAGTTGTGGGGTTGGTGGATGAAGTTGGAAAACAGAGGAAGAGAAGACACAGTGGAAGACCCAAGAAGGAAAAACTTAGCTTGGTCCCTTTTCTACCTCCTTCAACTTCTTCTCCAACTCCAAGTATGGTTATTTCTTTTCTTTCTTCTTCTTTTTGTTTTTGTTTGATTTCATTTTATGTTGTTTTGAAGCATATATTGATATGTGTGTTGTGTTACTCTGGTGGTGTTTAGAAGCTGAAGAAGAGAATGGAGGTGATTTAGATCGTGTTGGGCACCTGATTACTGATTTGGTTATGTGGAATGATGTATCAAAATCGACCCTTTGGTTTGGTTTCGGGTCTCTTTGTTTCTTATCTTCTTGCTTCACTAAAGGACTCAACTTTAGGTCTGCAACTCCTCTTTTTTGTTCTTGTGTCTCTCTCTCTATTATGCTGTGTAGTAGAAAATTCTGAGACGTTATCGTGCTTGTTATTTCAGTATTTTCTCGGCCATTTCGCAATTGGCAATCATCTTGTTGGTTTTTTCGTTCTTCTCAAATTCAGTTTGTCAAAGGTGCAATTTTACTTTGTCAAAATGTCGTTTTTCTTCTTCTTATTAACTATCCTAGTATTTAACGAATTTGCGTTTATGTATATGTTCAGAAACCAGGTTGAGAAAAGGGGTTATGCCAAGCTGAAAGAAGATGACATTTTACGTCTTGCAAAATTGATTCTTCCTGCTTTAAATTTTGCAATTTCAAAGACTAGTGAGCTATTCTCAGGAGAACCATCCATGACCTTGAAAGTAATTCCAGTAACCAAAATTTTGGTTTCTTGATAGTGTGCAAAATTTTCTTTCTAGTGTTGGTTTAACCATCAGGTGTTTTTGTGTTCTATTTATTTATTTTTTCCTTGGTTGCAGTTAGCTCCTTTCCTTATATTAGGAGCAGAGTATGGCCATCTTATTACAATTTGGAGGCTTTGTGCCATTGGTGAGGACATCATGAACTGTATAATGTTTTCCAGAAACTGAGTCAGCATCAGCATTATCAATTTTTTTTTCTTTCATTATACTTTAGTTCTGATAATTCATGTCTTGCTATGCTAAATATATATGAGCAGGATTTTTTGTCAGCTTCAGTGTCCCAAAGCTTTATTCTTGCTACTCAGCTCAGATAAACCAGAGGGGTATAATTCCACCCACTTACTAACATTTTTAGGTCTATTCACATTTTTATACTTAATTGTAGATAACGTTTTGTTATGCAGCTGAGTGCTTGAAATTGCGATTGTTGGACACATGGAGTGCATGCACACACAAGAAGATAGTGATTGCATCAGCACTTATTACCTTCTGGAATCTATCTACTATAAAGACACGAATTTCCACAGGTAATTCTCGGCTAAGACATTTGGCTGTAATTTTTACAGCCTCCTGAGCAAACCGCAGAAGGATGCATGACTATTTAAGGATCAACAGTCTCCAAAAATGTATTTAGTAGTCTCATCTATAAAAACAATGTTTCTCTTACCTATTTCCTTGGTGGACAGTGATCCTTAAAAGATTAATCCTCTGTCTTAAGGTCTGGACAGCTAAATTGACATGTGCATTTGACAACTTCTGTGATAGTTGATTCTTATAATGTGATTTTCTTTGCAGCATTTATATTGCTTGTAATACTCAAATATTTTCGGCAAAATGTCACGCAACAAGTAGAAGATGGAGAAGCAAAAGTGGCTGAGAAGGAACAGCAGCAGGCACTAGTGGTGGCAGAACCAGAGGAAGAGGAACAACTGCAGGCATTAGTGGTTGCAGAAAAAAGGCGCCAACGCTAGAAACTTAGTTCATCCTGCCATATCTTGACACTTAACACAAATATGTATCTTGCACCTATTGATGGCACATCGCTTTTCTTTGTAGTTAGGTGAAAAATAAAAATGTGCTTTCATAGTCTATGTTTAATATTTGCTGATGTCGAAAGGCATTCTATAGTCATAATCAGCCTGTTGTACAAACTGATTCAAGTGCACAAAAAAGGCGCCAACGCTAGAAACTTAGTTCATCCTGCCATATCTTGACACTTAACACAAATATGTATCTTGCACCTATTGATGGCACATTGCTTTTCTTTGTAGTTAGGTGAAAAATAAAAATGTGCTTTCATAGTCTATGTTTAATATTTGCTGATGTCGAAAGGCATTCTATAGTCATAATCAGCCTGTTGTACAAACTGATTCAAGTGCACAAATTTATTCATTCATATACAAGGAAATCTAGCTGATGTCGAATTTATCAATATGTAATCGACTGAGATATTCAACAGTGAGAAACTTCATATGTTCATTGTTTTTCTAATTAGTGAGAATACAAAGAATTTTGTGCCTTACCTATATTGTACAGACTGAAAAGAGTTGAAAAAAATCATCTCAAATGAACCATACTGTATGCTGGAATTTTCTGAATTCCAGCCTCCATCATTTCTTTCCTCAGATCAGCAGCATGATCCCATCTTTCCTTCTCAGCATTCATGCTTGACAGTATCACATATTGGCCACAATGTTGTGTCTGCAATTTAAGCTCCTTTTTTCCTATTTCTTCTCCGAGTTCAATAGCTCCATGAATCCTACATGCACCCAAAAAAGCTCCCAATACCGATGCATCAGGCTGAAAAGGCATATTTCTTATGATATCAGCTGCTTCCTGCACATACCCTGCTCTTCCCAAAAGATCAATCACACATCCATAGTGCTTCATTATTGGCACTACCTGAAACTCATGCGACATTGATCGAAACAACTCCAATCCTTCCCTAACAAAACTTCCACGAGCACATGCTGTAAGAACTGCTACAAAGGTAATGCTATTTGGTCGTAATCCTTGAAGCTTCATCTTCTCAAACATGTCCAAAGCCTCCTTCTCTCTACCATTGGAAGCCAGTGAAGAAATCATTGCATTCCAAGTGCATACCGCTCTGGAAACCATCAAATTGAAAACATTCACAGCATAATTCAAACACCCCATCTTCCCATAAAAATTTATCAAAGAAGTTCCCAAAAAAACTCCCAAGTTGACCTCATTCGCCACTATGTATCCATGAACTTGTTTTCCACAATCAAGGGCAGCTTCACCATCTAAATTGGCACAGGAGGAGAGCACACTAACATAAGTAGCCTCATTTGGCTTCACCAAACAATCCTCATGAGTCATCATCATCATCTGTCCAAAGAACCGAATTGCAGCACCAAAGTTCCCATTCAGAGCAAAACCATTCACAAGGGTTGTCCAGGAAACAACATCCCGATGGGACATGCTTTCAAATAGTGACATAGCAGCCTCCATGTTCCCATTGGTGGAGAAAGCATTAAGCATTGCGTTGCATGAGACAATGCAAAAGAGAGGAACTTCCTCAAACACCCTGCGTGCATGAGCAAGGTGGTTGTTTCTTGCATAGAGGGCAAGGAGAGAGGTGAGTATAAAGGGGTCAGACAAGAGGCCACGCTTGAGGGCTTGGGAGTGAAGGGCTGTCCCCAAAGTAATAGGAGGATAGGACTTAAGGAGGGGAGGGAAGGTGTAACTGTTGGGTGGGGCTTGGTTTTCAAGCATGTGTGTGAAAAGGAGAAGGGTCTTGTGTTGGGTTTGAATGTGATGGGATTGGGCTTTAATGAGGGCATTGTACAAGAGGGTTGGCATCCATTTTTGATGGGGTGATGATGCATTTGGGTGATAAACAAGGTGGCCATTGGTGATTACAAGAGAATGAATTTGCTCCATTTGTCTTTGGTGCTTCATGCACCTTTGTGCAAGTTGCAGCAAACACTCACCTGAATAGAGACTCATTTTCAGTAAAACAGCAAGTAACTCCAAATGGGTGTTAAAATTTCACAAATTTCGTGTCATTCTCTCTTTATAAACAGATAGGTGTGGTATGAGATACATGCACAAAATTTTCACAAATCTCAACATGAGATATTCATTCCCTAAGTTACATGCTGCAGACCCAATTGCAGAATTGGAGAAAGCTTGTTGCTTTTGGCCTTGAATTGCGCTTTGAATCCAGAAAGATTCAATTTTTACAATTTAGAAAAGGAAAATTTAAGCGTGAAACGCTGCGTTTTTCACGTTTTTTTTCTGTTTTTTTGTTTTTTTGTTTTTGAGTCACTTGCTATAAAAGCGACGAAATGGGGTGTTTGGAAGTGTCGTAAGGGAATGGACGCAATTGGGTATTGTGGTTTCTGGAACTGGAAACCGTTACCGCCGTCACGACGGCGTCGTATTCGCTCCAATTCAGGGTCTTCGGATTCAACCGGCAGAGGCGGTTACCGGTTCCCTTTGAAGCAGGCGGCGACCGCCGCCTCCCTCGCCCTCACCGGCGACACAATCGCTCAGCTCAGTGGCCGTTGGAGCAAAGCCAAGGAAGAGGGTAGGGACAGTGACTCTCAGGTAAATAGAAAGATTTTAACTTTGGAGATTTTTTATTCAATGTTCATGCCTAGAAGGTAGTGCTGGGATATTATGAGAGAATTGAATTTGAATTTGAATTTGAAGCTGATTAATTTTACTTTCTTTGAATTTGAAGTGATTCTTACATTTTTTGAGAGCATTTTAGATGTTAAATTACAATGCTAGAAGGTAGTTTATAGATGAAGAATGAGGGCTGCTGTGTTTTTTCTTTGCAATAATAAACCAAAAGGTTTTCCTTTAGGATGTGTTGTGGGGCCACCTTTCAGACCATGATTGGCTACGTGCTCTGAGAATGACTTCTTATGGATTCCTTTTCTATGGCCCTGGTTCTTATGCTTGGTACCAATCTCTTGACCATTTTCTCCCCAAACCAACGGTCCAGAACCTAATACTAAAGGTACTATACTTTATAATACTTACATCTTTCTCTCTCTTATCTCATCATCAATGAGTGTTGGTGATCAATAACATAAGGACATGACCACTTTTTCACGTGAGAGGATCCAAATCCATTTATAATTTGGTTTACTATCATTTTATACAAAAACTTATACTCTTAATTTTGATAGTTAATTTCACTTATATTTAATGACTCTAATTCTTTATTTATGTGAATCATTGGATTATAAGTGAAGGGTTAATGATTTCTATTATTACTTTAGATATGTTTCTTCGTGGTCATCACTTATAATTATGTATTTCGGGGAGTAGATAGTTATAATATTAAAGTTTTTTTTTTCTATCTTCAAATATTTTTTAAAAACTTGTTAGCTGATGTGAAAAGAGAAAAAAAAATAACTTTAATATTATAATTATTTATTCTCAGACATAATTATAAGTGGTAACCGCATAGAAGACAAGCTTATATAAAGTAACAGTAGAAATCATTAACCCATAAGTGAATTAATGACAAGGAGCAGTGTAAGCAGTTATGGATAGTGATACCTTCTAAGTTTCCTATTTTTCTCCCTTTCCTTTTGGCAGGTTTTACTGAACCAGATTGTGTTAGGTCCATGTGTCATTGCTGTTGTTTTTGCATGGAATAATTTATGGCTAGGGAAGTTCTCACAGCTTCCGGAAAAATACAGAAGAGATGCTTTTCCAACGTTACTTTATGGTACCTACCTCATTGCCTAAATGTTATTTATCATGACTTGCTGATGCAGGTTTCATATGGGTTGATGCCAGCCTTTCTGTCTGATTTGTCTATGCAGGATTTAGATTCTGGATCCCTGTCAGTGCATTAAACTTCGGGTGCGCATCTTCTTACTCTTCAATTTAATCTTCTATTTGTGTATGTTTATCGCTTTCCCTCTTTTGTACTCATTAATGCAAACAGCTCTGGTTTAGAAACTAAGTTCAGTAAGTTATGGCTTGTGCATTTGGAAACCCTAATAATAATAAAAAACACTTCTCTTGGCAAGTTACCATGAATAAATGCTTTTTTTAAAAACAAGAGAAAGACATTTCCATCCATTTAGGTAGCAAGAAAACTTCAAATCTGAGCAATTTGATCAAATTAATTCTTATATACCTTTGAAGAACAAATGGTTTTTACCTGTCGAGTAGAAGTTTCTCTTCCAATGCTGGGAAAAGATGGAAGCTTGATACTTCTTTACTTCATCATCCTGCCACTTAATCCCAATCAATACAGATATGTCCTCTCTTGGTAGAAACTGATATTAGGGAAACTTGCAAGTTGTAACAATTAAATTTACTCAGCTTCATCGTCAACATCTTTATTCCAAACTAGTTGGGTCGGAACAATTAAATTAATTCATGCCAAATTTTTGTGACACTATGAGTAATGGTGTCAAAGAAGTAATTCCATATCCAGATTTGCAAAATGGTTTTAAATCATGCACATGAACTCTCTTCTCTAATTCACTTGGTTCAATGAATACTGATACGCTAACCTTTACCTGCAAATGGTTCCCATTATTAAGGTTAATGTTACAATATTAGTATAAGAGGAGAATTAAAGGCACAACTTGGGTAGCAGTAAAGGTAGTAGTTTAATATTGAGTGTTACAATTGCATATCATAATTGTATGGTTGTATTTCAATATAGGAGTTACATTAGGAGCATTAGGAGTAGCTTATATTTTGATAATTGAAGTGGCAATTGTTAGCCTCTGACGTGTCATTGTATTAGGCAAGAAACCATTTGGTAGTTTGGGGTCAATGTATTAAAGGCACAACTGTAACCGATGGGAAATTCATTCAAGAAAATAATCAGAAACGGCTTTTTTTGTTCTCTTTTGTTCTTCTCTGTTCATGCTCCTATGTGAGGGTTCGCGTCCCTTATCATTGGTGCTTTCACCATTGTGAACTTTGCCATTTTGTTTTGCAAAATCATGCTTTCATCTTGTTGAATCTTCATCCTTGTCGAACGTAGCAAGCGATTCAAGATGCAAACGAAAATGGAGAAAGGTTTTATTGAAGATCAAGCTTTGTTCTCCAAAATCAATACTTTGTTGCAGCAAATTCACGCCGTAATCCTGGAGAAATGGCCCGATCAATCATTGGGTACTGATGCTTTGAGCGCAAGAGCAACACAATCTTTGTCGGATCAAAGAACTCTACACAAGTTAGCAAGTTCGCTGCAAGCCTCTATTCTTGGTGCTCCAAGAAATTCTGATGTTCTTTCCGAAGAGAGTTCTACCTCTGTTATTGCAATGGATATTGGTGTCAAGAAATGGTCCGATCAATCACTTTCTAGTCAGTTGTCACACATGGAATTTCCAGATCGTGGCCCTTTGAAGCCATATTTTTCTAACCCTGTTCTGACTCCTCGATCTCCATCACCACCAGAGGTGACATCAAGAGAGCCCATTCCTGTTCAAGGAAAGCCATGTAGGAACTTGTTGACTCAACACTTGAAGCGTTTGAGGAACAACAAAATGCTCGTAATGGTCAAGAAACCTTACAAGCTTCCTAGACTTGCTCCTCTCCTTGTAACAACACCCTCCCTCAAATTCACAGGTTCCAAGGCCCAGAGGTCAGCGCTGCAAGGTTTATGGGAACAAGCGTTCCTTGCCGATGAAAGGATTGAAGTGGTCCCATTTGGAAGTTTGGAACATGACGAAGAAGGGTTGTGCACAGGTTTTGCAGAAGATGATGAAACCCAAATCCGGTTGGATCTTCAAAGTTCCCGTGCAGTCGAATCTTGCAAAGAATGGGTATGCGCCACACATGTTTGATGAAAATCCTAGCCTAAATGCAGGGTATGCAGTACACGTGTTTGATGAAATTCGTCAAGACCCATTTTCAGAATTTTCTCTTCAAGATTTTGTTTCATTTTGCCTTCTTTATTTTGTCTTTCATTTTGCTTGGGACCCAGGGGGATTCATATATTTTCTTACTCCATCGTCTGTGGTGACAAATAAAGTTGCGAAAACATCATCCTTCCACAGGCAGTTGCAACAAAGTAAGCGGCAGTTGCAACAAAGTAAGCTAGGAAGTAGTTTGAATGGATTGCATACATTTAACTCTTTGATTGCATCTGCAGTTCCCGGTTATGAGTTTGTATGCATTGCCCTTGTGTGTAGCTCAAGTGGTGAATTTTGGCAGTTTCAGCGTGGTCCTGCCTTTTGCCGATTGAAAATAAATGAAAGTATTATTCATTTCCCTTCCCAAGGGGGTGATTCTGGTCTTCACTTTATTAATACAGTGTCAGTGGCTCGTGATCTGGATGTTTCTATACCACCATTCATTGGCCGGATACTACTTCGTGCCAAAGATCCACCTAGACCTGTTTTTCATCGCATAGAATACAAGCCCCCACCAGCCATGAAGACTTCTCTACAACCAACAAAATCAGGCTTAGATTATGTAGCAGTCTCTATTTTCAAACTGACTCGTGACCAACTCAGCATACTGAAAGCTAAGTCCAAAGAAGATGGCACCACAATCACCTACAACACTTATGAGATGTTGGTTGGTCACTTGTGGAAAAGGGTATGCAGGGAAATAACACTTCTTAATGATCAAGAGACCAAATTGTACATTGCAACTGCTGGAAGGTCAAGGTTGCAACCTCCCCTCCCACCAAATGGCACAGTGGATCTCCGTGGACGACCAACGATTTCTTCTAGAACTGGGAAACAGAAAGCTTGCCGTTTTGTACTTGTTTACCAAGTATTGGAAAGATTTTCCTACTATGGGGTAGGTGCCAATTTGGTGAATTATATGACAACCCAACTCCACAAAGACTTGGTATCATCAGTAAGCAGTGTGAATAACTGGTCAGGAACATCATGGATAGCTCCAATTCTTGGTGCTTACGTAGCAGATTCTTACATGGGCTGCTTTTGGACAATTATTATTTCCTTACTCATATATGCCATAGGACTTGGGCTTCTGGTCCTGACAAGTTCATTGAAGTGCTTGAGGCCAACATGTACAAATGGAATTTGCAGCAAAGCATCAAATTTGCAAGTAATATTACTCTACGTATCACTATACACTATAGCAATTGGCAGTGGTGCAGTGAAACCCAATATGTCAACTTTTGGTGCTGACCAATTTGATGACTTCAACACCAAAGAAAAAGAGATAAAAGTTTCATTCTTCAACTGGTGGTCGTCTAGCATTTCATTGGGCATTTTATTGGCCACTCTGCTAGCTGTGTACATTCAAGACAGATTTGGATGGGGATTAGGATATGGCCTATCAGCTATTGGGCTTCTACTTTCCATTATAATCTTCTTTATGGGCACCCCAATATATAGGTATAAATCTGGAAAGGAGAGGAACCCTACAATGGACTTTATCAAAGTCCCGGTTGGTGCTTTCAGAAATAGAAATCTCCAGCTCCCTATTAGCCCTTCAGAACTGCACGAGTTTGAGTTGCAACCTCCCCTCCCACCAGGTTACTTTGGCAATGTGATCTTCACGACCACACCTATAGCTATAGTAGAAAAATATGCAGTCTATAAAGGGCCTACCCAGTGCCGAAGCAACCCACACTGTGGGGTCTGGGGAAGGGAATTTCTAGGCAGCCTTTCCCCTGCTTTGCAGAGAGGCTGAGTCGAACCCGAGACCTCCAGCGCACAATGGAACCACTCCACCATCGCGCCAGGCCGGCCCTCCTAAAAATATGTAGTCTATATAAAAGTATTTCTACTTTTTTTTTTCATTGGACCTTGAGGACAAGGTCCGTTTTTGAGGGGAAGGCAATGTTACAATATTAGTATAAGAGGAGAATTAAAGGCACAGCTTGGGTAGCAATAAAGATAGTAGTTTAATATTGAGTGTTACAATTGCATATCATAATTGTATGGTTGTATTTCAATATAGGAGTTACATTAGGAGCATTAGGAGTAGCTTATATTTTGATAATTGAAGTGGCAATTGTTAGCCTATGACGTGTCATTGTATTAGGCAAGAAACCATTTGATAGTTTGGGGTCAATGTATTAAAGGCACAGCTGTAACCGATGGGAAATTCATTCAAGAAAATAATCAGAAACTGTTGAGATATATAGTCCCATATTGATTGTGTGGACAACTAATGTGACCTTTATAAGATCTTGGGCACTCCCACCCTTTGAGCTAGCTTTTGGGGTGGTGTATCCCAAGGTTCTTTACATGGTATCAGAGCCTCGCCGCCCCCCACTTTCTCTTAAGAAATTCTACTAGAAAGAAAGTGGGGGGCGGCGAGGATCGAACCCGGGACACGAGGCTCTGATACCATGTAAAGAACCTTGGGATACACCACCCCAAAAGCTAGCTCAAAGGGTGGGAGTGCTCAAGATCTTATAAAGGTCACATTAGTTGCCCACACAAACAATGTGGGACTATATATCTTAACACGGCCCCTCAAGCAATAGCCCTTTGGGCTAGAAGCGTGGAACTACACAGGTCCAATTTTTGGTTTACCTTTTTGTGCTTTTTATTTTAATTCCACTTTAAAGTTGGGGGCGGCGAGGATCGAACCCGGGACACGAGGCTCTGATACCATGTAAAGAACCTTGAGGTCACCACCCCAAAAGCTAGCTCAAAGGGTGGGAGTGCCCAAGGCCTTATAAACTCCATATTAGTTGCACATACAACCAATGTGGGACTATATATCTTCAACAGAAACGTCTTTTTTTGTTCTCTTTTGTTCTTCTCTGTTCATGCTCCTATGTGAGGGTTCGCGTCCCTTATCAGTTAATTTATCTTTTTCAACTGAAATTCAATATCAATGACATGCTAGTTCATTTTTTTGACTTAAATGTAGTTATATCATATATGTGAGTTGGATATGCTGTTTTGCAGTTGCAGTTCATAAACGTTGTCTAGACAATAATCTAGTTATTTGGGGTTTGAATTGCTTAGATCTTGAGTCTTACATTCCTTGGCTATATTTATGGCATATATGCAGGGTGGTGCCTCTTCAAGCTAGAGTGGCTTTCATGTCAATGGGCTCAATATTTTGGAATTTTTTCCTGTCATCAACTATGAGCAAGTAAAATATGCATGCGGAGTTTACCAGCAACTTGCATTGTTTGAAATTTTTACACAAGGTATGTTATGTTTGCGTGATTATTTTTTACCTTCATGATTTGGATGGTTATAAGTTATAACATCAAGCCTTATCCTATCTTTGTAGATTAATCAGGATCTAATAGTTTGGGCAATGACTTGGATATCAACATTTGTGTGCTGTGCAAAATATTTTGCCTTCTGAATAGTTGATGATATCGAAGAACGACTACATTTTTCCTTTGCTGCTGACAGTTGTAAAATTGAACTCTTTTTCATATGAAACCGACAGTGTAGGTGTTAGCTTTCCCAGAAGGAATAAATTTGGGATAATTTGTGTACGTTCTTATGGATAATTATAAAATTTGATTATCAAGAGTGATAGTTTTTCCCTTAATCAGAAGTCTTGTGTTCGAATCTTAAGAATGAAAAAAATGATTTTGGGAGAGTCAACTCCTATAATAGGTCTGATAGTGCTCAAACTAGATTAATCGGGTAATCAATGAATAGATGGATATATTCAAGTGACAGTTTTAGTGTCACCCTTAGAATGTTCTTCAGAATGTTTCTGTCCCATCTTAGCACATAGCATGGGCTTAAATGAGGGGAGCTTCTTGGCAAATTTTCTTTTTTAGCATACTGGATGAGCTTTTGTTCTATTAGTTTGTTTTCCTTTTTCTCTCTTTTTCGAACTTCTTTTGTACAAAAGAAATAGAAGACAATGTGTGAATCATTGGTTGGAGATGTAAAAATTATATACATGTAGGGATAAAAAAGCAAAGAGGAAAAAATAAAATAAAAAGGTGAAAATTAGAGCTTAAATCAGATAAAAAAAAAAAAGAAATAAAAAAGTGAGAATGTTGAGATTTAGTCCTACTGTAATTTTTAATAAAAATAAAAAAATTAAATGTTTATACATTATTAAAAAGTGAGAATGTTATGCTTTAATTTTTGCAATTTAGCAGCTTCGAACTATATGCATATAGTTATTAACAAAAAATAAAATAAAATTAAATGTTTATACATTATTAATTCGAAACATATAATTATGTTGATGTTTTTACTTTCTTGACTGCACAACATTGAAAAAATAAAATTATAAGAGTGAGTTATAATTTTTAAATAAAAGTTATAAATTAATTAAGTGTTTAAATTTCAAAGGTTAAATTGTAAAAAATCAGTAAGTAATTTTCACAAAATTTAAAAATGAAGTGACTAACTAGCAATTTAACCTATAAATAAATAGAAAAGTGAATAAATAAGAAAAAGATGAGGTAATTATAATTGAGTTTAAGATGAATATCATGTGTTTTGCGAGTTATTCTTTTAAAAAATATATATATATATAAATAAGAAGAAGAAAAGCTTATTTGAGTTAAACTCAAATTTCTTAAAAAAAAAAAAAACACAAACACAAACACAAATTTCCTTTCAAAAGGCCCTTTAAGAATGGAATCAGGCCCAACATCAATTAAATCCCCAAATCCGAAGAAGAATAGAGAGAGAAACTAGGGTTAGGGCTTAACATTTATCATTATTCACTCATACACAAACTTAGAAAAAATAGAAACCCTTATCTCTCCAAAAACCGAATAAACTTGAGAATCCGAGGCCATGGCAGCACCACCACTTGCGAAGAGGAAGCCGGTGTTCATCAAGGTGGACCAGCTGAAACCCGGCACCACCGGTAACACACTCACCGTCAAGGTCGTCACCTCCAAACCGGTGAAAACCGTCGCCAACAGGGGCGGCCCTCGCCCCTCCCGAATCGCCGAATGCCTCATCGGCGACGAAACCGGCACCGTCGTCTTCACTGCCCGCAACGAACAGGGTATACCACTTATTCATCGCATTCTTTTGTTTTAACCTGATAAATAAAATAATCATGTTTAAACTTTAAACTCCTGTTTACTTCTTGTTTAAACTAATGTTTATTTGTTATATCACTGTTTGATCCATTTTTTAATTTTTAATTGTGTGTGTGTGTGTGTGTGTGTGTGTGTGTGTGTGTGTGCAGTGGAGCTCATGAACCCAGGTTCAACTATAATTTTGCGTAATGCGAAGATTGACATGTTCAAAGGATCCATGAGGCTAGCTGTTGATAGATGGGGGCGAATTGAAGTCACTGAACCTGCAAATTTTGAGGTTAAAGAGGAAAACAATCTTTCTTTAGTTGAGTATGAACTTGTTAATGTTGTTGAAGAGTGATTTTTTAGCCTCTTGAGTTTTTATTAGTTTTTCGTTTTCTGGGTTTAATGTGCTTATGTTCAACATGCAAAGTAAATATTGTCATGTATTTACTATTTATTACCTCAATAATATAATATAACCTGTCGTGTTTCAACAAATTATTTGGAAATTGTTATGCAAATATTTTTCTGATTCATATATTCAGTTGACTTGCTTCTGGAAGCATCGAGTTATGCATTGAAAAGATACGGTGCCTCTAATTATAAAGGTAGCTCATGAAATTGAAAATACATGGTTGTAACCTTGTGTTTTATTATCCATTCTAATTCTGATGACACCGTAATGTACGTGGTGTTATCGCGGTTGTTAAAAAATTGAGTTGAACCTTTACCGAGAAAAAAAAAATTATTGAATCGAACTGTGATTATTGTGTTGATCTTCCGAAATGTGGAGTAGAGTTTATTATTTTGTGGCGTCAAATACACTATCTGATACAAACCCAACTGTCAATGTCCCAACACCTCGCCCACGTAAGCCACCATCTTACCTCTCAGACTACGTGCAAGGAAGATACAACAATAGAAGTTAAAGACTTGCTGACCTTCAGTTATTTTAATAGACCAAATGCACGTCCACTTCATTCTTGTATTTTTGTTGTTTAGTTTTTATTTTCTGCGGTGTCAGTTATTAAGTTTTAATTAGTGGGAAGTCAGTTATTAAGTTTCAGTTTTCTGTAATTAGTGGAAAGAAACTGCTCATTGTAATTTGTATTTAATGTTTTTATCATTTAAATGAAAGGATCAGAATTATTATCCCATTTACGTTACTTTTCAAAGCTTAGCCTTTTTGCTAAAAAGGTCCCCATCATTTGGTGCTTTCATTGAACACACTCTCCCTCCATGGCAGAAGGAACACGGTTCCGGAAGCTTGAAGAAACACAAGAGACTCAAACAAACCATATCAATCAACTTCGTGACTCTACCACCAAAACCTCTACCCAAATTTCTGAACTCACAGAACAAACCAACCAAACTGTCCTCCGTCTAAATGAAGTTCAAACTACTCTCACCACCTTGCTGGGGCGCCTTGATCAACTGACACTTAGCAACAATACCAATTCTTCCAACACACCACCTCATTTCCCTCCGGTCCTTCAACCTCGTGCCTTTAAGCTAGAGTTTCCTCGGTTCAATGGCAGTGATCCATCAGGATGGCTCTTCAAAGCAACACAATTTTTTGACTTCCACAACACTCCCCAACACCAAAAGCTCCAAATAACTTCCTTCCACATGGATGGACCAGCTCTAGCATGGTTTCAATGGATGCACTCTAATTATCCATTTCATGACTGGAACGAGTTCACGCAAGCATTAGAAGCTCGCTTTGGTGACTCACCATATACTGATCATATGGGATCCTTAGCCAAACTTCAACAGACCACCTCTGTGGCTGACTACATTGCCACGTATGAAGCATTAGCCAACCGTACCACCAACCTCCCTGCAGAATTCCTCCTTCGCAACTTCATTTCCGGTCTCAAACCAGCCATACGACAAGAAGTCCAGGCCTTACAACCAACCACTATTTTTGCCGCCCAAGGATTAGCCAGACTACAGGAGGAGAAACTTGCCGATCTACACTCTAAACCCACTGCCATCACTGCTCTAGCCTTGCCTGCACCAAAATCAACGACTCTGTCACGCCCTTCCATTTCTTCAACACCTTCCCTTCCACCCGGTGTCCGTCGCCTCACACCTGAGGAAATGAAAACCCGCCGTGAACAAGGATTGTGCTTTAATTGTGACGAACGATTCTCCCGTGGCCACAAGTGCAAACAGCCCTCCAATCTCCTTCTCATAGAGGATATCACTGACATTCCACCCGAAACTGAAATCGACCCAATCACCCCCTTTCAACCGAAACACTTGACATCTCTCTCCATGCCTTTGCTGGCCAAGACTCTCCCCGTACACTTCGTCTGCAAGGGTACATTAAGGGTGTCACAGTACAAGTTTTAGTGGATGGCGGTTCAACTCACAACTTCATTCAACAACGGATGGCAAACCACCTTCATCTTCCTGTAGATACCAATCACTCTTTTCCTGTTACAGTGGGTAATGGAGATACGTTGCAGTGCTCTGGTTTGTGTCTTGCTGTTCCTGTTCAACTTGCTGGACACATTTTTCATATTGATTTATTTGTTCTTCCCCTCCATGGTGCTGATATTGTTCTTGGAGCTCAATGGTTGCGTCAATTAAGCCCAGTTACCTTTGACTACCGTCTCCTTACCTTGTCATTTCATTTCAACTCTGAACCTGTCACACTTCATGGATACACTCCTCCTATGTCCACCCCTATTACATCATCCACCGTAAGACGTCACTTAGCTACTTCTTCCATCGCAACACTCTACCATCTTCACCTTAATACAGATTCTACATCCACTTCTCCCACTATTCCACACGACATTGCTACTATCATCCAACCCTTTCACCATCTCCTTGAGCCACCTAGTGGTCTTCCTCCCCCCAGAAACCAAGATCACCGCATCCTCTTACTTCCAGGAGCCAAACCCGTCAATGTCAAACCCTACCGGTACCCGTACTTTCAGAAACAAGAAATTGAGCGTCAAGTTCATTCAATGTTGCAAGATGGACTCATTCAGCCTAGCCTAAGCCCATTTAGTTCACCTGTCCTCCTTGTCCGTAAAAAAGACGGTACCTGGCGCTTTTGCGTTGACTTTCGTGCCCTCAATGCCATCACTACCCGTGACCGTTTCCCTATCCCCACCATTGACGAGCTCTTTGATGAACTTAGGGGCTCCAAATATTTCACCAAACTTGACCTTCGCTCCGGCTTCCACCAAATTCGCATGCACCCAGATTCCATTCTCGCCACTGCTTTTCGTACCCACCAAGGACATTATGAATTCAAAGTCATGCCCTTCGGACTCTGCAACGCACCATCCACCTTTCAGGCCACCATGAACTCCATATTTGCTCCTTACCTGCGCCGCTTCGTGCTCGTCTTCTTTGACGACATCTTGGTCTATAGTCCCACGTGGGAATCCCACTTAACCCACCTGAGTGATGTCTTCTCACTGCTGGCTCAGCACCAATTGCACATCAAGTTATCTAAGTGTTCATTTGGACAAACTACAATTAATTACTTGGGTCATATCATTTCTGCTGCTGGTATTGCTGTTGATCATGCTAAAATTACAGCAATCTTGGAGTGGCCTACTCCTCGTAACATCACTCAACTTCGAGCTTTCTTGGGCTTGGCCGGTTATTATCGGCGCTTCATTAAACGGTATGCTACTATTGCATCTCCTCTGACCTCTTTATTATGCAAAAATAATTTTCTTTGGACAGAGGATCAGGACAAAGCTCTCGAAAACCTCAAGCAGGCCCTCACCAATGCACCTGTTCTTCAGCTACCAGATTTCTCCGCCCCATTTTGTGTAGAAACAGATGCTTCCGGTGATGCCATGGGCGCTGTCCTCACCCAGCATGACCATCCTCTGGCGTACTTCAGCAAGCTTTTCTCCCCAAGAGTTCGTGCTGCCTCTACATATGTCAAAGAATTATGTGCTATCACAGAGGCTGTTCACAAATGGCGCCACTACCTTTTAGGCCGCGAATTCCTCATCCGTACAGACCATTATAGTCTCCAGCACCTACTCAACCAATCCATCCACACTCCTGAGCAGGAAAAATGGCTTTACAAACTTTTGGGCTTTCATTATCGAATTGTCTACAGGCCTGGCAAGCATAATGCTGCTGCAGATGCTTTGTCACGTTGTCCTACCATGCATGCTCTTTCTGTTCCATTACCAGCCCTCTTCACCAAAATTCAACAATTGCTACAAAAGGACCAGAAGTCTCTCACCATCATTGCTGCCTTACGTAAGGACCCCACTGCTTATCCTCATTATCGTTACACTGATGGTCTTTTGTTTTATAAAAACAGATTGTTCCTTCCTAATCCTTCCCCATTGTGCAAAGAAGTATTTGATGATCATCACAGTACTCTTATTGGTGGCCACTCTGGATATTATCGCACTCTAAAGCGATTGACTCAAGCTTTTTACTGGCCACGGATGAAGGTCGATATCAAGAAGTGGGTTCGTCATTGCACGGTTTGTCAACAAACGAAGTATGCCGCCACTTCACCTCAGGGCCTCCTTCAACCGCTTCCCATTCCAACACGCGTTTGGGATGATGTCACCATGGATTTCATTGTTGGTCTCCCTCCTTCACAAGGCAAGACTTCTGTTTTAGTAGTGGTTGATCGTCTATCAAAGTATGCGCATTTTATTTCCCTGCCCACTAGTTTCACCGCTCAGAGTGCAGCCAGTGCATACATTCAACATGTTGTGAAGCTCCACGGCATCCCCAAAAGTATCACTACTGATCGTGGCTCGGTTTTCTTAAGCTCCTTTTGGCAGGAACTCTTCAAACAGCATGGCACCACATTACAGGTCAGCTCGGCTTACCACCCACAAACCGATGGACAAACCGAGGTTGTGAATCGTTGTCTAGAACAGTATCTCCGTAGCCTTACCATGGACAACCCATCCTCATGGGCCAAGCTATTACATTGGGCAGAATATTGGTATAATACTACATACCATTCTTCTGCCAAGATGACACCATTTGAGGCTTTATATGGACGTCCCCCTCCGACTATTCCTGACTATATTTCGGGTGGTACTCCACACTTTGAAGTGGATCGCCTATTGCATGATAGAGACACACTGCTGCAAACACTCAGAAGTAACTTACAAAAGGCCCAACAACGCATGAAAGCTCTTGCTGACAGCAAACGCACTGATCGCCAATTTTCCATTGGAAGTTGGGTCCTTGTTAAACTTCATGCTTATAGACAACATTCCCTAGCCCAACGTCAATCCTATAAGCTGTCCCGACGTTACTATGGCCCCTTCCAAATTCTTGCTCGCATTGGTTTAGTTGCTTACAAGCTTTCCTTACCTTCTTCCTCCCGTATACACCCTGTCTTCCATGTGTCATTACTTAAACCTTTTTATGGAGACCCCAACACACCCAACAAGCTGGCCCTTCCAGAACCGGATCTTGAGAACCTTGGGGACAAGGTTTGTCCTGAAGTGGTGGGGAATGATACAAACCCAACTGTCAATGTCCCAACACCTCGCCCACGTAACACCATCTTACCTCTCAGACTACGTGCAAGGAAGATACAACAATAGAAGTTAAAGACTTGCTGACCTTCAGTTATTTTAATAGACCAAATGCACGTCCACTGCATTCTTGTATTTTTGTTGTTTAGTTTTTATTTTCTGCGGTGTCAGTTATTAAGTTTTAATTAGTGGGAAGTCAGTTATTAAGTTTCAGTTTTCTGTAATTAGTGGAAAGAAACTGCTCATTGTAATTTGTATTTAATGTTTTTATCATTTAAATGAAAGGATCAGAATTATTATCCCATTTACGTTACTTTTCAAAGCTTAGCCTTTTTGCTAAAAAGGTCCCCATCACTATCCAATCATAATGAAATTGGAAACATTAAAATGTTCACCCAATCTTAGTGCCTGTTTGGATCCTCTTTTTTTTAAGCTACAAGCTACTTATAAGCATAAGCTAGGCCAAACATGTTTTGGGAAAAGCTCTTATAACGAAAAGCTCTTTTGTTTATAATGAAGAAAAAAGCTGAAAATTAAAAGCTCCTAGGAGGAGCTTTTTTTTAAGCTCTTATCTGTTTTTCTTGAATTGTGTGCTTTTTTTTAAAATAAAGAGTGATAAAGATAGAAAGAGATAATTTTCTTGAAATATGTGCTTTTAAGTAATTTTTAAGCTAAAACTTTTATGTAATTTCCAAACAGCTTTTAGCTTATTTTTTTAAGCTCTTTTTTTTAGCTTTAGCTTATAAGTAGCTTCTAGCTTAAAAATAAGAGGATCCAAACAGGCTCTTAGCCTAACCGCTCTGACTTATTTTGGCCAATAATTACTTTTGGAAACGACATGGCTAAGTTCCTAAGCTAACTACATAGCACATCAGTGTTGTAAAGATAATGGCTACAACTAAGGCATGACTCATTTTGTGATGTGATACGCAAAATAATGAATTTCAGGAAAGAATAACTACAAAATGGATAGTTAAATCATTATCATTTTTTTGAGACCGGGTGTTCAGGAAACGGGGTTTACAAGGGATGGGTTACCCTGAAAGCCACTGAGATTCGAGTTTTAGTTTATTACAAGAGATTTTAATTTTTGAATTTCTACGCCACCACATGAAAATAAGTTAAAGAATATCCATGATACACGTGCAAGATTGAAATGCTAAGCAACCATCATGAGGAAACCGAGCACTATTATGAGGGCAACTGGTGGCCAAACCGTCTTCTAATACCGAAGGCGTACATAAATTTTGGAAATGCAAGTGAAAAGCATGATTCTGCAAGCCAAAGTTGCTTTTAGGGGAAATCACAGACCTGTATAAGCAAAACATGGAATCAGAACTTGAATTAAGAGGCACAGAAACAGTTTAAGAGCTCAAGTAACCAAGGCTCAAATTATATTAAAAGTGAACTACAAAAGCAGTCCAACTGTGTTTGCATAAAGAAAGATAACGAGTTTACAATTCCATAAAAAATGCTCCATTCACAAAGGTTCACAAAAAATGACTGTCAGAATCTGGCCAGCCAAGGGCACATAGCCAAGTTATTAGACTTAAGTCATTAACGAGCAGAAATTACATATACCAAAGGGAAGGATGCTTAATATATATTTTAATTCGTTTGAGATTCCTATTTATGAGGCATCATTATATTGGAAATAGAGAAATTTCACTGCATACTCCAATCCCTAGGAGATGCAATATGAAAATTCTAACTTGCTCCTCCAGTGGCTCAGTCAAATGTCCTCATCTTTGTAGCAGACACTGTCACCCAGCGCAGATTTTTACAGGAAAAATTTGCTTGAATCTTCTAAATGTTTATCACACATCATTATAGAAATCCGATTAAACAAAAGAGATCAGCATACTATACCCCTTAATTACTTATTGATCCTATAATATATGATGAAGGCAAACCAGAAAAAAAAAAAAAATGAATTGCAGCATTATTTATGACAGAATTTCAGAAACACAATCACACAAGACAGATATGTGCGATACACAACTCTCCAAATAAGTAAACGTAGAAGGTACGGGCAAATAAACTGAATTCCAGAAAATCCCTTGAAAGAGTATGGAGAAGTATTTTTATCTTAACTTTTTTTATCAATAATTTCTCCGACATTGAGAAATTTTTCATAAACAAAGAATTCATCAGAAACAATGCCACTGTTCCTTTTGAATTCCTGACAAGTAGTGATAACTGTTTTCAAGATGAATAAATATTGGACAATATGATTCATAAATTGGGAAACAAATAACCCAGAATGTAAACTAAGAAGTATTTTAAATAATGACATAGGCCAAATCCACGAGCAAAAAAATGTGTTCTAAATAGGTTTAAATAGTTCGTTACAGATGCCTAGAAATTATTAGGAATAACACATCATATCATAGGAAGTCCCTGTCCTCCCACTTTTGCTTCCTGATCTTCAAAGAGTCTGCTAAGAGCCTACAAACAAAAGCAGCGTGTCTGGCTTCACTAAATCATTTAGTCGATTAGGGGGGCAACATATGAAGCAGGGAGTAAACTAATCCATCAATCTTAGGTACGGGATAGGTAGTTATAGTAACATATATGGTCAAGCATCAGACAGACGAACTGCCCTTTGCGTACGAATATGGTATGATATTAGATCATTTATATATATCAGAATAATAGAATGCATCATCATCATCATCATCATAATCATATAATAAATCTCACAAGACTCAAGAATCGAAAGAAAACATACCAGAAAATTAATTGTAGAAAGAACATGAAGAAATCCTAGAGATGTTTAGCTACCTAATTCAAAAGTAAAATCCAATCGTCAGGAAATCGAAACTAACAAAAACTAGTTGACCCGAAGAGAGGGACCACATAACTCAATTTTTTTTTTTCTAGCTCTTATTCTGATAGGTTTTTACGACATAAAACTGAAAAAAAAAAAAAAAAAAACTTATAAATCCCCTTCTAACAAATCTTATCCACATTAAATATACCAAACATCATGAAAAAGAATAACCTCCTGTAAGTCATTTCTGATTTGCACATAGTCAACATTCAACAATGCCACTAAATCAAAGCCATTCAAATTGCATATACACGGATTGAGTTTTGTGATACCGTTAATCGGAGAGATGAAATGAAAAAGATTTTGATACCTTCAAGAAGCCAAATGTAGGTGCGACTTGAAATGGATAGCATCGAAGTCATGAGCGCAGAAGCAGTGGCGGTGTGGTACGGCACCATGGATTCCACACAGAAACTCAATTCAACAGGGAACCTTTTCACACAAAACAATGCAACTACTGCCATCAATCAACAACGAATTCGGAAAAATAAAAACAGAAAACACAAAATAGAAGCTTAGCTAAGCTTCCATGCAATGTATGAACCTGTGTATTGATTATTTACCTTAGAGCGGAGTGAGATTGGGAGAGAGGTTTATTGGAGGCCATGCGGAACGGAGAACGAGCCGATTTGGCTTCCGACGCAACACGAATCGCTGACCGGCCGGCGGAGCATGATCGGAAGATCGATCTGGCGGCAGAGGCCATTTTCGTTATCGGACTTGTTTGAAATCGACCTAGGGTTTTGGACCTTGTAAAACCCCGGCTCTATCATGTTCGTCGGGCTTGGGCCGAGCCCAATGCGCGTTTGGGCCCTAACTTCAATTTAGTGTAACCCAACAACCTAACTTGTTCACCTATTAAAATTAGGGATAAGTTATTCTGCCAACTTCCATTTTGTCTATCTTTACATACTCCTTTCATCATCGTTCGATTACAATCTAATCCAACGGTTCATATTTGCGAAATAAAATAAACTCCTTTTCCCCCTTTCTTTCTCCTCACTTCCTCCCTTTTCTCTCTTCCTCTACGCCATCCCTATTTTTTTTTTCTTTTATCGCTGCTGTCTGCCGTGTGGACCTCTTTAACCCCCCACCCTCTCCAACTCCATCTGCAGTTAGAAGCTTTTCAACTTCAGAAAAAGAATTTGAAAAAAAAAATCCTTCCTTTTTCTGCAACTCTATCCAAAGCGGCGGTGCCACAAGGTGTTGTTTAGTTGTTTTCCATGGTGGCGCAAATTGGGAATTGATAAAACTCCCCGTTAATCGCTTGTGTATGCTGCCGTGAACAACTTTTTTTATCGCTTGTGTAGCTTATCAGGTTTTTTTTGGCACTTCATTTGTAAAATAACAAAAGCAAAATTCAAAGAAACTTTACTAATAGTTAATCACGAACGAATGCAAAAAGATATATCAAGGTTAACTACTCGACCATAAACCAAAGCCTTTTACCACTGGGTACTGTTATTACTCCAAGGAAGATTGAATAGTCAAAATCATTTTTTATAACAATCATCAAATGTAAAATGCCTCTTCACAAGCATTATGGGATTTATTTCGCAAAATTGTTTCTTATAACAATCACCAACGATGAAGGAAAAAATAAATAGGGATGGCGTAGAGGAAGAGAGAAAGGGTGTGGGAGGAACTGAGGCAAAAGAAAAGGAGGAAAATTTATTTTATTTCGCAAATATGGACCGTTAGATTAGATTGTAATCGAACGATAATGAAAGGGGTAGGCAAAGGTAGACAAAAATGAGAGTAGGCAGAATAACCTATCCCTTAAAATTATGTCATTATTCTAAGGATGACAATTTGTGTGAATGAGTGGTGTTCTTGTCGGATCAAGATGTGATAAGAACATGACACAAGTAAAGATTTATGCAAGACCCTGGACACAAACTCGTCTAGCTAACTATGCGGATTAACATGACTCGAATAATATATATTGAATGTTATTTTCATCAATGTCGTGTTAACAAAATAAGATATAAATAACTTAATTGGGTAGGAGAAGCTCTTAGAGAACAGGCTATGACAAATTAGCAAATTATCTAGGAGGTGAGGGAGGATCGTGTAACCAGAAACCACACTCGTAACTCTGAAAGTGAAGTGACCAAGATCTGCAAATGCTCAGGGAGGATCTAATCTCTATTACAAAGGACTAACTGAATTTTGCAAGCATAAACCTTTCACTTTTCGGGGAGATTATAACCCTAAGGCAGTTACGGATTGGGTAAAAGAACTTGAGAAAATATTTCTAGTAATGGACTGTTCTAATATTCGTAGTGTAAATTTTGCCACATATACGTTGATTGGAGAAGCAGACCATTGGTGGACGAATACCAAAATATGTTTCCAAAGTCAAGGAACAAAGATTACTTGGATAACATTTAAAGATACCTTTTTGGAAAAATATTTTCCACAAAGAGAAAGAAACATGACTGTTGGTGAATATGTGGCAAAATTTAAGGAACTATCTAGATATTCCAATTATGTACAGAATCAACCTAATGAAGAATGGTTGTTAATTAAGTTTGAATCAGGATTAAAATATGAACTTAAAAGCATGATAATATGACACTAAATAAGAGACTTTTCGTCATTAATAAACAGGTGCATAGACATTAACGCAAGTATGATGGAAGCAGAGGAGGCAAAGGAAAAAGTCAGAGGTACAAACCGGAGAAGGAAGAATGATGACAACGATGAAGAGAAGATTCCACAAGCATATGAATCGAAAAAAAATTGCTAGCAATGAAGGAAAAGGAAATGAGAGATGGATGAATTCTCATATTTAGGTATGTCCAAACTGTAAAAAAAAATCATATTGGACAGTGCCTAGTAGGAAAAGGCCTATGTTTTAATTGTGAAAAGTTAGGACACCTGATGAGGCAGTTCCCTCAAAATCAAGGTCAAAATTCATCCAACCAATCTAAAGCAAAATGATTGCTTCAAAAAAAAATCTAAAGCAAAAGGAAGAGTCTTTACTCTTAGTGGTTAGGAAGCGACTTAAGTTTCAAATTTAGTTTAAGGTACAGGTCCAATACAAAATTCTCTTATTTATGATTTCAGGGCAACTCATTCTTTCATCTCCCTATCTTTTGCTTAAAAATTAAAGTTACCAATTTCCATTATACCTTCTTATATAGGAAATCTTCATTCTTACTAGGAAAAATATAACTATATTCCAAGTTTATAGGAATTATTCTCTTCAAATCGAAGGGAAGTTAATTGAGATATTTTTTAGTTTATCTACCTATGATTGACATAGATGGGGTTTTTAGCATAAATTAGTTATCTATCCACTATATGGATCATAGGCAAATGAACAAAGTTATCCAATTTATTTTTCTAGAAGGTATGTGATAACACATATTTTGTTACACTTATTTATTACTCTTAGTTGGTATTTTTATGATTTATTTGAATTAAATAAAGGTCTTTTGAGTCAAATCAGAATTCTAGATTTTAATTGGGTTTAATTGATTTTCGTCATAATTTTCTAGATTTACACTACTTTTGTATTTTGACAATATCTCACTCTACAGATGTCCTATTGACTCTGTTCTTGTTGCGTTTTGCAGCTAACAGGTAGGGCTACAATCGCTATTTCAGCTACTGAAGCCCAATTCGAACGGGAAGATGGTCGAAACCTGAGCCCGAGATGACATGTTTTTGCTGGAATTTTATTTTGACATTTTGACTTGTAAATTAATTAGAACCCAATGTGTATAGGGCCCAATGCCATGTTTTAATGTTTTGTTTTATTTTATTCAGTTTTTATTTTATGTATGGGCCGAAGTGATGAAACCCTAACCGTTCTGAATGACGGCTATTTAAGGAAAAGCTTAGGAAACCCTTCGGCAGAGAGATTTGGAGTTGAACAATTGTTTGAGTTTTATTTATCGAAATTCTGCACTTTTTCTTTTCATCTTCTTCTTCTTTTATTCTATTTTATTTTGAATGATGTTTAACATCACGATGCTAGGCTAAACACCTTTAATCAATCTAAGGTTAAAGGTTCGTTAATTTATTTCAGAGGGTATGTTTTTAACTTTTTAATTCAACATCATTTTTCCCATTTCAGGTTGAATATCATGCGATTGTAGATATTCAAACTGAATAATGCGATTGCATTTTCTAAGGGAAAACTGATCATTAGATTCAATGGTCAGATTAATTTACCTGATGAACATAAGTTGAACAGATCAAAATTACTGCGATCGCATAGTTGAGATGCTGTATTCAACCAAAAGCTAGGCGATAGTCTAGAGAGGGTTTCCAATTGAGTTTGAGGATTCCTAATTCGATTAGGGTTAATCATGAGTTGATAATCATATCTTTTTAATCCAATGACGAAATAAATTAATGAATCCTGATTCCTTAGGTTGATTGTTTTTTTTTTTAATTCTAATTTTTAAATATCTTTTTCAAATCTGTTTTATTTAAATTTCAAATCATCAAAATCCCCCTTTTCCCTTTATATTTTATTTTACAATAGCGTTTCTGATTTCTAGCAGGTTCTTTGGGAGACGATCCGAGTTGCCCTATCACTACAAACCTAAGGCTCGGTAATTTCTATCAGGTTCTTTGGGGGATTTTGTTGATTTAAAATTTAATAAAACAGATTTGAAAAAGATATTTAAAAATTAGAATTAAAAAAAAAATCAACCTAAGGAATCAGGATTCATTAATTTATTTCGTCATTGGATTGAAAAGATATGATTATAAACTTGAGATTTACCCCAATCGAATTAGGAATCCTCAAACTCAATTGGAAACCCTCTTTAGACTATCGCCTAGCGTCTGGTTGAATATAGTATCTCAACTATGCGATCGCAGTAATTTTGATCTATTCAACTTATGTTCATCGGGTAATTTAATCTGACCATTAAATCTAATGATCAGTTTTCCCTTAGAAAATGCAATCGCATTATTCAGTTTGAATATCTACAATCGCATGATATTCAACCTGAATTGGGAAAAAATGAAGTTGAATTAAAAAGTTAAAAACATACCCTCTGAAATAAATTAACGAACCCTGACTCTTTAGGTTGATTATTTTTTTTTTAATTCTAATTTTTAAATATCTTTTTCAAATCTGTTTTATTTAAATTTCAAATCAACAAAATCCCTCTTTCCCTTTACATTTTATTTTACAAGAGCGTTTCTGATTTCTAGCAGGTTCTTTGGGAGACGATCCGAGTTGCCCTATCACTAAAAAACCTAGCTCGGTAATTTGCGTGAGTTCGACAGCGCACGTCAAATTTAATTTTTAGTTTATCTACCTATGATTGACATAGGTGTGGTTTTTAGCATAAATTAGTTATCTGTCCACTATATGGATCATAGGCAACTGAACAAAGTTATCCAAATTATTTTTCTAGAAGGTTTGTCTAAATTCTGGTGACAAATTTTTATTTAGGAGAGGAAAAATATAACATTAAAATAATAAAAAATAATGAATATTGCGGCGCTTGAAGCGCCATTATGCGTCTTGAGTTGGCGCTAAAAGCGTCATGCAATTGAATCAGTTTCGCGCTAAAAGCGTCGTATTATGTCATATGGTGGCGCTTGAAGCCCCATGTATAAAGTTCGTGCTGTGTAATTAGTTGGCGCTAAAAATGCAATAGTGTAGAAAGGAAAAGGTACCTGTAGCGCCAATAATTTTAATAAAATAAAAAATAAATAAATATTAAAATAATATATAAAAAATAGTATGTC